ACCTCCCTGATCATCAGTTTAGAAACCTCTACTGGAAAGAAATCTAAAACTAGACATAAGACAGAGAACTAAAACCTTGTCAGGCCTTTGATGGGAAGAATGTCTCTAGCCCTGAGACAGGCCAGTCTTAAACCACGCTCTCGATTATAAAGGAAGAGGAGGGAAAGGGCCCAAAGTCCCAGATTTAATGTGACCTTTCTTTGCTTCTAGCAAAAACAAGTTTTGTCAGTAAATAGCAGAAATGTTTACTGTGACAGAAAAGAAAGTAATTAAGCAATAGGGTAAGTAATGTTATGACTACAATTATTAAACTTTTCAAAATAAAGATGGGTTAAATGAATATCCTGTAGAGGCAGAAATAGTGAGAGCTAGATGTGTTTCAGAGTGCATCTGTCCAACTCTTGATCTCTCCCTCTGAGTGCGATAGAATGGTGCACAGGCAAGCGCCCCAACCCCAAAGTCAGACCATCACCGTTGATGCTGGTTGAGAATTTGGCTTTTCTTTTTTTTTTTTTCTTGAGACAGAGCCTCAAGCTGTCCCCCTGGGCAGAGTGCCGTGGCATTACAGCTCACAGCAACCTCCAACTCCTGGGCTCAAGCAAGTCTCTTGCCTCCGCCTCCCAAGTAGCTGGGACCACAGGCGCCCGCCACAACGCCCGGCTATTTTTTGGTTGCAGCCGTCATTGTTGTTTGGCGGGTCCGGGCTGGGGATTCGAACCCGCCACCTTAGGTGTACATGGCTGGCGCCTTAGCCGGTTGAGCTAAAGGAGCCGAGCCGAATTTGGCTTTTCTAACTTGAAAAAGGAAACTGCTCAGCACTTAGGGTTTTATCAGAATTTGTTGCTGTCTTTATGGGATCTTATTTTATGTCTGCATATTATTTCTTTTAAAAAATGATTTTATTTGCTTCTTAAAAACTGTATTCACTAAAATGTGAAACAAGAAGAGACAGCCTAATGCAGGCGTCCTTAAACTACGGTCCACGGGTCACGTGTGGCCTGCCTAGGACATTTATCCGGCCCGCTAGGTATTTCTGCCGCCACTGCCTGTCCTGCTTAGCAGCTGACTCATCGTGGGGTCTGCAGTCCGGCCCTCCAACGGTCTGAGGGACAGTGAATTGGCCCCCTGTTTAAAAAGTTTGAGGACCCCTGGATAGACCAAATAAGGGATAGGAAACTGAAGTTCAGAGCTGAAAATCATTTCCCCAGCAACAGGGTGGGTAAGCAGCTGACATAGTCCTCAAATTCAGATTGGTCTAATTCTCAAGTCCTCTTCCCACACTGCATCACCCTTCCTGTGCTGGTCTGCTGGTTCCTCCCTGCTAACAACTAGGAAGGAAGCCAGTGCAGATTATACCCAATGAAAAGCTGGAGATCCTGGCTTGGTGCCCTTAGCACAGTGGTTACGGGAGTGTCTTGCTCTTACTCAAGCTGGGCTCAAACTCTTTAGCTCAAGCAAACCTTGATCCTCCTACGTTGGCCTCCCAGAGTGCCAGGATTATAGGGGTCAGCCACTATGCCCGGTCTCTATCAGGTTTCTTATTGGTAAATCCAATAGAGATTCCCTTATTAAATCATGGGATCCCCTCTTACAGAAGTCTGCCTCTAGAAAATACCTAAATATGCTGATCCACAGTGATCCATATCTGGGAAGAGGGGTGCTGTTTGGTTTTAGCCCCCTTATCTTGAAAGAGTAGGAGAAGTTAACTGGATTGATCTAATATCCAAAGCAGGCCTAGGAATGGCAGTTCCCACATCTGCTAAGGCAATTCCTATTATTCTAGGACCTCTCAGGATCTGAGACCCTGCAACACTCTGAACATTCTAGGCACCAACCTTCTAGGACTGCCTAAAAGAGGTATTCTAGAACCCTCTGGCAGGTCTTCCTAATCCTGCCCCACCCGTGGAGTCCGCCTCACATTCTTTTTTTTTTTGAGACAGAGCCTCAAGCTGTCCCCTGGGTAGAGTGCCCTGGCATCACAGCTCACAGCAACCTCCAACTCCTGGGCTCAAGTGAGTCTCCTGCCTCTGCCTCCTAAGTAGCTGGGACCACAGGCACCTGCCACAACGCTCGGCTATTTTTTGGTTGCAGCCATCATTGTTGTTTGGCGGGCCCAGGCTGGATTCAAACCTGCTGTGGCTGGCACCTTAGCCACTTGAGCCACAGGGGCCGAGCCCCGCCTCACATTCTTACCAAACAAGGATGAGGTAGTCAGTGTCACTAATTGGGCAATTTCCTCACATTTATCCTAGCCTTTCAGGTTGACCCAATTCTGCACTTAATCCCATTGGTAAATCTCAGAGGGATCTACCAGGAAGCCCATAAGTTCTGCTCTGGCCAAAAATGATCCCCATTGTCACATCATTGCCACATTACAGCCCAGTGGGACAGCGCTGTCGAGCCTAGTGCTGAGCAATCAATAGCTGCAAGGTATTCAGTTTTCACCCCTCAAAGCAACTAGATTCTTCTCTTCTGCGGATATCTGAAATGCACTTTCTTTTTTTTTTTTTTGTAGAGAAAGAGTCTCAATTTATCGCCCTCGGTAGTGTCATGGCATCACACAGCTCATAGCAACCTCCACCTCCTAGGCTTAGGTGATTCTTTTGCCTTAGCCTCCCAAGTAGATGGGACTACAGGTGCCCACCACAATGCCCAGCTATTTTTTGTTGCAGTTTGGCTGGGGCTGGGTTTGAACCTACCACCCTTGGTATATGGGGCTGGCATCCTACCCACTGAGCCATAGGCGCTGCCTGATGGACTTTATAATGTTAGTGCTATGCCTAACATTGATACCAGATTTTGATACCACCTGTTAGCAAGAATATCAGCTGGGCCAGCCCCAGTGACTCATGCCTGTAATATCAGCACTCTGGGAAACTGAGGCAGAAAATCACGTGAGCCCAGGAATTTGACACCAGCCTGAGCAATGTAGTGAGATCCTATCTCTACAAAAAATGAAAAAAATTAGGGCAGCGCCTGTGGCTCAAGGAGTAGGGCACGGGCCCCATATACTGGAGGTGGCAGGTTCAAACCTGGCCCCAGCCAAAAACTGCAAAAGAAAGAAAAAAATTAGCCAGGGATGATGGCATGTGTCTGTAGTCTCAGCTATTTAGGAGTCTCAGGCAGGGCAGACTGCTTGAGCCCAGCAGTGTCAAGTTGCTGTGAGCTGGGCTAAGGCCATGGGACTCTAAGTGAGACTCTGTCTCAAAAAGAAAAAAAATGAAAAAAAAAAAAAGGAAAGAAACTATATTAAATTTAAAAATATTCAAGTCACATTTGACTTTTTATTTATTTTTTTTTTTTTGAGACAGTCTCAAGCTGTCGCTGTCCGTAGAGTGCAATGGTGTCATAGCTCACAGCAACCTCAGACTCTTGGGCTTAAGTGATTCTCTTGCCTCAGCCTCCCAAGTAGCTGGGACTACAGGTGCCTGCCACAACACCCAGCTGCTTTTTTTGTTGCAGTCATCATTGTTGTTTTAGCAGGCCCAGGCCGGTTCAAACCTGTCAGCTCCAGTGTATGGGGCTAGCCTCCTCCCCACTGAGCTATGGGCACTGCCTTGACTTTTTTTTTGAGACAGAGTCTTACTCTGTCACCCGGGGTAGAGTGCTGTGGTACCATCATAACTCAGCAACCTCAAACTCCTGGGCTTAAGTGAGTTTCTTGCCTCAGCCACCCAAGTAGCTGAGATTACAGGTGTCCACCACACCTTCTAGTTTTTCTATTTTTAGTAGAGACTGGTTCTCTTTCTTGCTCAGGATGGTCTGGAACTCCTGAGCTCCAGCAATCCATCAGACTCCCAGAGTGCTAGCATTACAGGCGTAAGGCACTGTGTACGGCCGCTATTTGACTTCTGCAATTACAAGATGTGCTCAGTGTGGCTTGTATTCATGTTACTGGTATATATTGAGTATTACAATTTTAAAATAGTTGTGTCCTTTCTTAAAATATGTATACATTTTTTGGCACCCTGAGATACAAAACATACTTTTATGAAAGAAAACACAAGATGTTGATAACACTGATTCCAGGGCAACTGGAAAGCTGGGGGATAGAAGTGAGATGAGTTTGTATTACAGACCTTTGTGAATTTTGATCGAAGTGAATATACTCAGTTTTCAAAGAACAATTCCAAAAGTTTGATTCTCACTTAGAAATAATATCTAGTTCTTTAAAAATGTATAATGAGAGTTAAATGATAATTAAAATATATTACATTACTACATAGACACGTATGTAAATAATTATGGTAACAGCATCTCACTGAATCCTCTCAGCAACTCGTGACATAGGAATTATTAATATTACAATTGTACAGATGAAGAAATGAAGACATGGAAAAGGTTCGATCACTTGCCTATTGCCACACAGCTGGCACACAGTGCGACAAGAATTCTGTGACACTACGAAAGCCGGCATCTGAAAGCAGGGTGAGAAGGATAGAGAAGAACAGCAAAGAACTTTAAAGAGAAATGAAGAAAGTCTGCAGAAACTTTGATCTAGTAAAATCACATGAAATAAATATCCAATGTACTCCTTACTAACATGAAATCAATACATAAACAATCACATGTTCCTAAGAACAATAAAACACTATTATAGTCCAGTTTGGGGGTAGAGGGGAGCAGGAGGGGGGAGGACGTTTGGTAGGAGGGAGGGCCCCAGGCAGGATCTCACCTAATGTGCACTTGGTGAGGGTGTATAACACGGCCCCTGGGTGAAGGGCTCTTCTACAAATGAATTTTTACTCTTGAAGTGAGAACAATGTAACCTAAATATTGTACCCTCATATTAATTTGAATAAAGTGTAAAAAAAAATTACATGGCCGATTAGGTAGGATTAATTGGTCCTCTCAGAATTAGAAAAAAGCTGAAAACCTTAATATGAACTCAATGTAATGGCTATCCTTTCGTGGATGGGTAACTCTACTATGCACATAAATAGGAAAGGATTTAGTAAATCTAGAGCTAAAGTATAATGAGAAGTAAACTTTATTCTTACCATTTTCCTTTTCGATGACAAGGATGCCTCATTTATCTGGAACAAAAAGAGTTAAAACAACTTTTCAAAGGTGTGTGAAGCTACTTTGCAAATATTTTCATCCATTTGCATTCACGGCTCAATCTCATTTCTACAAAGGTTGATCCTCTACGTGACAGATGTTTCTTTCTACTTTTTTTTTTGAGACAGAGCCTCAAGCTGTCCCCTGGGTAGAGTGCCGTGGCATAGCGTACAGCAACCTCCAACTCCTGGGCTCAAGCTAGTCTCCTGCCTCCGCCTCCCAAGTTGCTGGGACCACAGGCGGCCGCCACAACACCTGGCTATTTTTTTTTTTTTGGTTGCAGCCATCAGTGTTGTTTGGCAGGCCCGGGCTGGATTCGAACCCACCACCTTAGATGTATATGTGGCTGGCGCCTTAGCCACTTGAGCCACAGGTGCCGAGCCTCTTTCTACTTTTTTGTGTAGGTTTTTTTTTTTTTTTAAACAGCCTCAAGCTATCCCCCTGGGTAGAGTGCTGTGGCATCACAGCTCACAGCAATCTCCAACTCCTGGGCTCAAGCTAGTCTCCTGACTCAGCCTCCCAAGTAGCTGGGACCATAGGCACCGGCCACTCAAAAATGCCCGGCTATTTTTTGGTTGCAGCCGTCATTGTTGTTTGGCAGGCCTGGGCTGGATTCGAAGGTATATGCGGCTGGCACCTTAGCCACTTGAGCCACAGGCGCCAAGTCTTTGTGTAGGTTTTGATGGGCCAGTGGAGAACCATAGGGAGAGTGATTAACAAATTTCCTGTCAATCAGGAGCATAGAGAGGAATTGGAAATTCAGAAACGGCACAGAATATGATGTAAGGTACTCTGAATTACCTAGACTTTTATTTATTCCTGGCACCTATTACCCTGCATGACTGAAGAGTTGAGACCGCTGCTGTATAAAATTAGTAGAAAAAAGCCGGAGGGCCATTACATCTAACCTTTAGGAAGTTACAGCAACACAAAGCACAATCTCCCTCATTAGAGGTGACTCAAGCTCATCAAACATTAAGAAACAAGTTTTTTGCTGAGGAAGAAAAAAGAAATAAAAGTAGTATGCTGATAATTATAACCATATTCATTTAGAATTCTGAAATGTTAAGATATAATAACTTATTAAAGTACCATAAAATTATGAGGAAGGCTCAGCACCTGTGCTCAGTGGTTAGGGCACTGGCCACATGCACCAGGGCTGGACTATTGGAACCTGGCCCAGGCCTGCTAAACAACAATGACACAACAACAAAAATAGCCAGGTAGGCGGCACCTGTGGCTCAGTGAGTAGGACGCCGGCCCCATATACCAAGGGTAGCAGGTTCGAATCTGGCCCCAGCCAAACAGCAATAAAAAAATAGCTGGGCGTTGTGGCAGGTGCCTGTAGTCCCAGCTACTTGGGAGGCTGAGGCAAGAGAATCACTTAAGCCCAAGAGTTTGAGGTTGCTGTGAGGATGCTACTGCACTCTACTGAGAGCAACATAGACTCTGTCTCAAACAATAAAAATAAGTAAAATTATAAGGAAGAAGTTTTGAGTTTCACTATTTGCATTTTATATTAATTAGAATTTAAAATTCTTTACTTTGCACATATAGATGTAAATTTAACATATATGCTTATAGTCTTTTTTTTTTTTTTTCCAGTTTTTGGCCAGGGCTGGGTTTGAACCTGCCACTTCTGGCATATAGAGCCAGTGCCCTACTCCTTTGAGCCACAGGTGCCGCCAGCTTACAGTCTTTTTATGTGCTTAAAGTCTAGAGAAAAATTTGTAGAAATAGCTTGAATATATAAAGAGTTCTAATAAGAGAAATATATTTTGTGACAAAAGAATATAAACCACATTGAAACATTTGAGGTTGTTCATATAATACATAGGTTCTTTGTGTAATACACAGGTACTTGTTATAAAACTATTTGTTGTTATTATGCATCAGATGCATGCAAAACATTGTAAGTAAAATACACGTGTCAGCATGTGCTATTCTAAGGACAGGATTCAATTTTTGTTTATAGTTTTGTCCATTATCTACAAGGTACAATTGCATAGCATCTAATAAATCCCAGGAGAAGTAGGAAAGGAAAAATTCATGATACAGTTAACTTAAAATTAAGAAAACAGAGAATGTAAATATCGACATTTTTGGTGGTACTGGAGATTCTGTTACACTTATCTCCTTAGAAGAAGTAAGTAAAACATCTCACAAGGGTGAGGAACCTGCAGCTTTAAGGAAACTTGTGGCCTTTTAGCCCCTTAAGTGTAGCCAAGGGACTGAATCCAAATTTTGCAGAACAAATCCTTTTATTAAAAGGGGTACAGCAGACAGAGATGAAGCTTTTCCTGCCTTCGTTAGTGCTTAAAAAAAATAATCTTGATATCAGAAGGCCACAGGTTCCCCAGCTGTGGTTGCTACTGGTCAATGAAAATTATTTTAAATAGTGTGTTTCCATAATCTTATCTTTCAAATATTATTATTATTTTATTCTCCTTATTATAATATTTAATTAGTTAAATCTTAGAAATATAAAAATAAGTGCAGGGCTTCCATTCTAACTTTGAAACATACACTTCCCTAAAATAAGGACAATACCCAAAGCCACTGGGCAAATTTTCATGGAATATGTTCATTACAATACAACCTCTCAGTATTAAAAAAGAAAAAAAAAATCAAACATAGCCCTCCATATTCTTATTTTGCTTTATTTAACTCCCTGGAAGAAAGTAAATCATATCATTTAAATGATCATTTTCTTCCTATAACTGAAAAATTATGAATTGTTATTGTATTACCATATTGAATAATCAAGATTGTCAAATTCACTTCAATAATTAGGCACTTACTTTACGGAGTATATTCCTCCTCTTTTTTACAAAATTCAGTAGCTATATTTTTTTCTTAAGATAAACAAAACAGGGTAGCCAACAAACTTTATGGTGGCATCATAAAGACATCACACATATGTTGTCTACTTATAAAGTAATGTAACAACGAAACACTCAAGTGGGTTATCTCAGTTAAAACATGTCAGATACTAAGCTAGAACTTTTGAACCTCAGATAATGAAGAAACCAAAAGACTTCTATGAAAGCTTTCTGTTTTGAGGACGATTCATTTTTAACAAGGAATAAATAACAGGAAAACATAAAAACCAGAGAAAGGATTGTGCAATCACTTACCTCCTGTTGTTCCATGTATTCTCTCTGTCTGCGAGCTGCCTCGTGCCTCCATAACTTCAGGCAAACCAAAGCACTGATAAGATAAACTATCATGGTGACAAAGAGGAAGATCATGGCAGCTATCTGTCCTCCTTCTACTCGGCAGAACACTGCATTCACTGGCGTATTAAATAATGGATAGTAGCAGAGTCCACCTCGATTGGTATCATTCACATAGACTATGGCTGCGGCCATATACAAAATAAACAAGGCGACATTAATTCCAAATTCAGTTAGGGGCCACCAATTAGAGTCCAAAAGAATAGTCCGGTAATACATGGACATGCCAAGAACCAGAATAATGATGGTGGTGATCCAAGCTAATCCGGCAACCACGAGTACAAAAGGGGTCTTGGGGCCGCTGTAGTAATAGCCCCCATACATACTGCCCAGGCCACCGACACCTGCCATGCCGTAGGGCTGTGTATATCCAAACAAGTTATACCACTCACTGTCCTTGTGAATGTAAGCTGTGACACAGGCGAAGACCCCAGCCCCCAAAAGCAGCTCTGCTACGCCCAGAATTCTCAGCAGGCCTGCCCAGGACTTCATGTAGGAATACCTCAGGTTATACTCCTCCACCTTCTCGCTGTACGTTCGAACCGTTGTGTGTCGGCCTAGAGACCCACAGGGGTCATGGGGAAACATTGCATCAGTTTCTTTCTGGGAAGTTAAGGTTCCTTCTGACCCTCCATAAGGATCTTTGCAGGAGTTGGGAGGCGAACGATGGTTTGGTCTTGTTGGCGAGGCTGGAGGTGAACACTCCACTCCATCGGAGATGTATCTGATATCAGACACCGGTTTGTCCCACTCTGGGTCCTTTTTCTTCCCTCTGAAGAAGTTCTTCCAGGAATCAGGGACAAAGCGTCTTACTGGTTTCAGATCTGGAGCTATGGCTGGTTCCTCTGTGTCACTTGAGTAGAGCTCTGGGCCAAATGGTGGCTGTAATGGGAGAGGGGGCGGTGGTAAAGGATCAGAGCTCACGGCCAGCTCCCTGTCGTGAAGAGTCTGGAGGCTTCTTACGGTGCCATCTCGATAGGGTGATTCACTTGGGACCTCATCATAGTGCCTGTCCCAATTCCTGGATCTTCCATCATTTGAAGACATTTGTGATTTTTGAACCTGTGATCAAATTTAAAGTTATCACTCATGCTTTTATTTTTTTCACTTATACTCTTTTCTTTATAATGATGCTGACTTTATTCACTTAATAGCAAAAGTATTCAGGATCATATTTGAGGCCAATATGATCATGCCTAATTATTATGATATACAAAAAATAAATATATATATATATATTAGATATTTGTTTTTGTTTTTTATTTTTGAGACAGAGTCACTTTGTCACCCTCAGTGGAGTGTGGTGGCATCATACCTCACAGCAACCTCAAACTCTGGGGCACAAGTGATTTTCTTGCTTCAGCCTCCCAAGTAGCTGGGACTATAGGCACCTGCCACAATGCTAAATATATTGATTTTGTATATTTTAAACAATTAAGTTATTTAGGGATATGAAGTCTGACCATTAAGTTCATGAACTCATCTTAGATAAAGCACTACTTACTTCATTGTTGAATATCACTAAGGGCACCTTTGAAGTATTCCCTTTGGGAAGCGATGCATGAGAGCCAGTGCCTAGTCTACCTTTGATATTCTTTTTCTGGAATGAACATCACAGCTGTCATTGAAGGGCACACATAAGCAATACACTGCCAGATGCTGACATGAACACAGCTGTGAGACACTGATATACCAAAGTTATGAAACCTTACTGAGTTGTTTGTACAGTGATGCTAATGTAAGTGTAGGGTGGCAAGTTCTCAAACTTAATTTTAAGACTTTGTGTGATGAAGAAAACGAGTTTCAAAATTGCTTTGAAGGGTGGGCTAGGCACTAATATCAGTGCATACCTCCCCAAGGGGAGTACTTTGAAGGTGACCTCAGTGATATGTAGTGAGGAGATATGTAGCACTTTTGCTAGGATGAGTTTGTGAACTTAACTGTCAGATGCCATATAGTGATCATTCTATGACATTTTATTTGTTCATTTTTTATGAGACAGAGTCTCACTTTGTCACCCTCGGTAGAGTGCCACGGTGTCACAGCTCACAGCAACCTCTAGCTCTTGGGCTCAGCCTCCCCAGTACCTGGGACTACAGGCGCCTGCCACAATGCCTGGCTATTTTCTTGTGGCAGTTTGGCTGGGGCCAGGTTCGAACCCACCACCCTTAGTATATGGGGCCAGTGCCCTACTCACTGAGCCACAGGCACTGCCTGACATTTTATTTTATTATGATTTTTTTTTGAGACAGAGCCTCAAGCTGTCTCCCTGGGTACAGTGCCGTGGCATCACAGCTCACAGCAACCTC